ATTATTATCATTGTTGCTATTACTATTGTTATTATTTTTGTTATTCATTTCGTTGTCGTTGTTGTTATCATTATTTTTGTTTATATTATCATTATTATCATTATCATTATCATCATCATCGTTAATATTATCACTGTCATTATTTTGGTGTTGTTATCTATTATTAAAATTAGTAGTAGCAGTGTTGCTGTTGTTGTTATTATTATTACTTCTTTTGTATATCTTTCCTTTCGATTTATTTGTTTACACTGGTGTTCAATTTGTTTGTTTATATATTTGTACAATAATTTCATTTTCGTTTTTTTTTTTTTTTTTTTTTTTTTTTTTTTTTTACTTTTCGTGGGTAGTTTATAACGATGCAAATGAATGTGGGAAAAAAAGCCTCGAAAATCTTTCTCAGGTTCTAATCAGCCTCCTGATAAGTTTAATTCCAGTGTCATTATTCTTTCAGCGTGTCTCTGAATATAGTGCATGAATTGCTTTTGATCAATACTCAGTGGATGAACTTTGCCTTTGCTTTTAATCGCGTCATCAAAAGCATTTGCAATCACCATCAACATATCATGCGATAACATAGCAACTTCCTCGAAACATCAAGTGGCATAATTAAAGATCTGAAAAAAGTCAAATCAATTAACTGGCATCCTCTCTCTCCCTTTTCGCTTTCTCCTTTCCCTTTTCCGTCTCCTTTTCCCTTCTCCTCTCCTCCTTACCCTTTCCCCTCATCCTTTATCCCGTCTACTTTCCCTTCCCCTCTCCACCTCTCCCCTCTCCCCTTTCCCCTCTCCTCTTCCTCTCTCCCATTCCCCTTTCCTCCCACCTCTCCCCTTCCCCTTTTATTTTCCCCTCCCCCCTTCCCCTCTCCCTTTCCTCCTCTTCCCATCTCCTTCCCCTCTCCTTCTCTCTCTCTCCCCTTCACCTCTCCCTCTCCCCTCTCCCTCTCCCTTTCCCCACTCCTCTTCCCCTCTCCTCTTCCATCTCCCCTCTCCCTCTCCCCTCTCCCTCTTCCCCTCTCTCCTCTCCCCTGTCCCCTCTCCCTTCCTCCCGACAGCGCCCCCTCGGTTTGACCCCGGGTTGCAGCGGCAGGTGTCAGTGCGAAGGGGCGCCCGTGCAACCCTTCTGTGTCACGCCCACGGAGACCCGCCCATCACTCTCCTTTGGCAGGCCACCCACACTCGCGTGCACGATCACAGGTGAGTTTTGGTAATACTTTTTTTTGTGAATATACTTACATACATACATACACACGAACACACAATGTATGTGTGTATATATATATATATGATATATATATATATAATATATATATATATAATATATATATATATATATATATATAACTATATATATATATATATATATATATATATATAATATATATATATATTTAGACATTCATGAACCTATATATATTGATAACCATAAACCAGGTGTATATTTATCCTATACATTTTGTTGTCCTCTAATATAAATACACCTGCACACATACACGCGGCTACGCATATAATTTTCACATATGCGCAGTTCTCCACAATCCTTTCGTACACACACACACACAATATCATAAGCACACATTTACATGCACGTACACAAACAAACATGCAATGCCTCGCGTATACACATAAACCACAGGGCAGGAGACATTAAAACTCCAAGTAAACAGGCTTGATAAACATCAGCAAGAGAACCCTTAATATACTCATTATTACACCATTCCATCATGAAAAATTCTTTCTGCGACCGACGGCCCGTATTCAACCTCGAGACTCACGGGGTACAATACACCGTGGGAATACGCATTTTCCCTCGCTCTCCCTCTCTCTTATTAGAGATAGATAGATGAATATATATATAGATAGATAGATAGGGATAGATAGATAGATAGGTAGATAGATAGAGAAGAGATAGATAGTAGATTCCCTCGCTCTCCCTCTATTATAGATTATACATGAATATTTATAGATAGATAGGTAGATAGACAGAGAGATAGATAGGTTAGATTCCCCTCGCTCTCCTTTCTCTCTTTATAGATACATGAATGTATATATAGATAGGATAGGTTAGATAGATAGGTAGATAGAGAGATAGATAGGTAGATTCCCTCGCTCCACCTCTCTCTGTTTTAGATACATGAATTGATATATAGATAGATAGTGTAGATATATTATCGATAGGTAGATAGAGAGATTAGATAGGTAGATTCCCTCGCTCCACCCTCTCTCTTTTATAGATAGATGAAATGTATATAGATAGACAGGTAGGTAGATAGATAGGTAGGTAGAATAGATAGAATAGGTAGATTTAAGAGTAGATAGATAAAATTAATAGGTAGTAGTGTTTAGATACTAATAGAAAAATATGTTACAGAGAATAGAGATAGAGGTAAAATTGAGAGGAGAGAGGAGGAGAGAGAGTGAGAGACTTCCTCTCCCACCCCTCCTCTCCCTCTCCCTCTCCCACCCTCTCCCCTTCTCCCTCCCTATCTCCCTCTCTACTCTTC